TTTCAAGGTCCTAACCAGGCAAAAATCACTGTGCAGCAGATATCTTAAAATTACTACTGGAAACTAAGATTTCCCAGAACATTTTAATGCGATCAGGTCAGGTTAAGGTACACAAGTACACAAGCCAAAGCTGAAAACATAATTAAACCAGCTTCTAAACTCTGAATAAGACACTGATGGGAACAGAAACAACAGATTTGATGTACTAAAATTATTGTCTTGATGCTGTATTTGTTTTTAAAAAGTCTAGTGAAGAGAGATGGTATTTATTCATACTATTTCACATAAGTCTTTTTTAAACCTAAATCCTACACCATTTATATTTCATATTTTCTACATTTATAAGAATGACCTAAATAAATACAAGTAGAATCTCGAATGAATGTGATCTTTTCCTCTACTGATTAATGTTCTCAACTTTTAAAATTTACTATAGACAAAACAAAACAAATCCTCCACTAAAAGTAGAGTAGCTGTGATGCTCAGTGCAACTCTGATTCTTTTTTAAAAAGAATCACCTTCTTTTTTCAGCATATTGAAGCAAAAATAATATACTGTCATGTTTTGCATATGTGTGTCCTGGTAACAGTTAACTTCAGATGATTTGGTCTATTTCAATTATGTGACTGTTGCATGAAATGGTCATCCAAATTTTCCTGGCTTAAGAGTTAGATTTGACAACCCATTGAAACCAAGAAAGTACAAATATGATGAGGAATAAACAAAAATGTTTGCTTCAGTCTTCCAGAAAAAAAGATCATGTCGAATGCTAAGCTAAGTTTTATTTGGAGTTTCTACTTTTTTTTCCTGATCCATTCATGATTTTGCAATGCTGAACAAAAAGAATTTTGCAATAGAACCATTTTCACGACCAAATTGAGATACTCCGTGGTACATTTGCTCCTCTGGGAATTTGTTAAAACATGGATAAAGTAAAATTCTGGCTTTTGCATTCTGCAGATCAAGTTCTTAATCAAATTAACAACAACAACAGAATACCCTAAGGAATAATGCGTTATTCATAGCAAGTACTGCTTCAGTTATTTAGATACCTAATTCTTAAGTGCCAATAAGCACACTGAGTGAAGATACTGCAGTATAACTCATTTCCAAGAGACCAGCAATAAGGATATAACTACCCAGCTCTTTGCTGACAGATGACTTGGATTGAAATATTATGACAGGAGATACCCAAGTCTCTCTCCTGATTCTATTTTTCTGTTCTTTTACACAAATCTCCAGCCAAAGCAATCCTGACAGGATCTGAGCAGCATCTTAGCAGGACGACATCTTTAATACAGCAAACTGTTGGTCTGCTGTTGACTTGATCATTCAGAAAAATGTACTAGAAATGGGGAAAAGTTACCTTTCAATTTTTTACCATTTAAATATCTCAATCAAAAGACATTTTAAAGAACTGTCTCTGAACTGACATCCAGTCCAGTACCACCACAGTTAACTGTTGTCTGATCCCCAAATACAATGTATTCTTGGCTATATTCCTACAGCTAGCCAAGATGCTAGCAATATAAGGATCATAGATCCTCTTTTGCTATGATGAATGGCATCATAACTTTCTTCTTTGTCCCTTCTCTCTTGCCTTCATACACTATTTTCTTTTAGCAGTGGAGGGCTGGTCTACTCTGACTACTCATGTCTACTTACTAAAAAACAACAATGCATTTAGCCCAGGCACTCAGACTTGCCATGGTGACATCTCACAGTAATAGTTACAATTCTCTCCGGAGTTTTGTCAGACTACAGTGAGGCAACATTTCTTGGGTCTTTTCCTCACTTAACTGTTGTGTAATGCCATGCACTGTTAACAAACTGGTAATGCTTTGGTCCAAAAGCAATACCATTGCAGTAAAAAGATAAATCCTGTATTTCTGGTTTAGAAGTGCTTGGGATACATCTGTGTTGTAAAGTTCTGTATAAGCACAAGATAATGTGTTTCCATCTCGAGAAAAATAGCTCCAGTTCAAAATATCTGCTACTGATGCACCATTCTTCATCTTCACAGGCAAAAAACATTCTTCATGCAGCTGATGAGTCATAAGCAGCGCCCAGAACACCTCAGGACTGGATATCCACCTCTCTTTTTCATGCACATAGACCCTGAACATTGGTCCACTGGGAACATATTGTACCTTTTTTGCCATTTGAAAGAAGAAAATATCCTATACAGAAACATTTTTCAATAGCATGTAGTTCCCAGTGGCTTCTGTGTTGCCATAAATTGGTACCTATATACATCTGTAAGTCAGTAGATAATAACAATAAAAATCAAGTGTAAATATTTGGCACATGAATATGTTTTTTAAAAAAATGAGGCCACAAAATACCATGCAAAGCAACCTATTAAATATACTGTACTGTACCTTCAGGATATACTGATTGGAGATTTTGTCATCAGCAGCCACATATAAACGGATGAAGACAGAGTTACTGTATTGACCACGAAGAGTTGCCAAGGCTTGGACTAAGTTAAACCTCCTTTCTGACCACAGACCTTCAGGTCCAATGTTGGATTCCAGCACAGGCCAGCGGAAAGGTGAATGTCTCAGTATACTTAACAGGGGTTTCACATCGGCTTTTTCAATTTTATCTGAAATGCCAAAGTGTGACAACAATTGCATCCCAGACAATTCAAATCCAGTAGCAACCACATGAGACAAAAAGATTTATCAGCATTGATCAATTTCTAGGCAAGACAAAACACAATAACTAAAACCCAAAGCCTCTGCTCTGCCTGTGAGCATAGAAGCATGGGGGTCTAATCAAGAATAAGAGCAGCAAATCAGTTCCTTTCAAAAAAGGCAAAGGTCTGGAATTAAGCCAATTAAAAAAAAAAATCCTCATTTAGTATAGAAAAATTCCTCCTCTTAGTATAGAAACTTCACTGGTTCTGAAAGGGGGTTATGGTACATAATCAAAGCTAGAGGGGTCAACATCTTGTCAGCAAGACTGCAGGGTGTGCTGTCTCAATTGCTGACAGTCAGTCTCAGGCTGTGCTGGAAGAAAACTGCTCAGGAAATAAAATTTGAAAGAGTCAGAAGTACAAAGGGCACTTGGAAGGACAAAGTCCACTCCCTCCCAACTCATCATTGACCCATGCACCTACATAAAGGTAGTGATGTGTCCCAACCCAGTGTATGTCACCTTACAACATTTACAAGATCAGGAAGAGCAATCTACAAATGTGGCTATAGGGCTCACCATTCAAACTTGCTTGACATCCAGATAACTCGAAGCTAAAGAGTCCATGGCTGTCTATACCCAGCCCTGTGGAAGTGTTTTGATTAAACATGCTTAGAGAAAGGTAGAAGGTGCTGAGCAAAAGGCTCTTGCAAGTGTCAGTACGAGAGTTTCATCAAAGGTCTTTTCTGATTTACCAGGCACTACTGCCACACCCCTGGGGCACAGCTTCAGCATCCTTTTACACAGATAAATACCCCTTCACAGTTCCCTGACAAGCAGAGGTCTCTGTAAAACGCACTTCTTGTGCCTTGGTGTATGTCAGTCTTGACAGACAACTTTAGAAACCAGTAGAAAACACTCAGCATTCAGCTAAATCTGAATCAGTAAAATCTGTGTGCCTGCACAATGCTTCACAGAGCTCAGTAGAGACCAAGAGAGCCTGCCTTTATAAACACAGGCAGCATGTATGTGTCCTGCTCAAATTGGGCCACTTACTCTCATTCATGCAGGATGCATAAAGGATCTTGGCCTTCTGTACAGCTTCACTGTCTCGTCTTTTGCTTATGGGTTTCTCAAGCAATGCTGAAAAAAGAAATGACATTTTTTTTTCAATATGTTGGAAAATGTAGAAACTGTCTGTTTGCCTGCCTCAGCATTTGCTTTAATCACAGCATTTATTTAATTAATAATAAAGTTCTTCCACATATATTTTCTTAAGCTGTAATATGGACATAAGAGCTATTTGCATTTTTTCCACCCCCAACAGAGAAGGATTTTTTATTTATTTATTTTTAAGAGGACTGCTTTAAAGCCAGTTGACAGATACTATTTATTGCTCATCCTCACAAACAGCCAATCTCAGCATGCTGAGGGGACAGGGAATCATGGGGCAAGAGTGGGAACCAGTGCACAGGGTAGGGAGTCACAAATTTTTTCAAGTAACTCAGTGTCTGGTGCTGGTAGGTTGTGAAATTGGGGTCTAACGGAGAGGGTGACAGGATCCCAGGAGCAAGATCACCTGCATTCTTTTGCCAGCTCTGCTGCTGCTGAAAGCAAGCAGTGGAGAGCTGTCCCATTGTCTGTTGAACGCACACAGCCTCAGTCTTGTAGATGACACAGAAGGCCGTGTCCAACTACTATCTGAAGGGCTGTTTTATATAGTTCCCTCACACTATAGGTGTCAACTTCCTTGGTGTCTGAAAGCCAAACTGGCTTTTCTGAGCTGTCATCTCTTTGCATTCCTTGCATTCCTCACATTGTTATGGAAGAGAAATAGCATGAAAGGTGTATCTGAATCTCAGCAGTCTGCTCTCAGCTGCTTTGAATCATTTTATCCAAGTTGTAAATTAGCTATGATGCAGATATATATACTATGGCTAAACGCAGAGGCAGCTTAGCTTCAGCAAGCTCTATCAGCTCAGGTGCAGCACAGCATGGGCACTTCCATGGCCCAGAGAAGCAGAGTGGTACTTGAACACAGCATAGAAACAGGGCTTGCAAACCCTGTCAGACCTGACCTGGTTTCATACAATCCAAAGAGGTCCTGCACAGCAGTACCTTACTGTTATGGAGGCAGTTGGAGAGAGTGGTTTAGCTGGAAGCATCCCACATCCCTCCTGTTGTATGCTCAGCCAGAGCTAAAAAGCCTAGAAAAATTCAAGAATGCCTTCTCTATACCATACTCCCCAGTGCTCTGGGTTGCAAGAGGGTTTATGAGAAAAGGCACACTGCAGATTGGCCTTGTGTGATGCTGTGCCTGAGCTAAGAAGCATGTCCCACACAAAAGGGGGAATGAAGTGCAACCCAGGAGTCCTGGTAGCCTGTCAAAGCAGAGGGCCACTGGGACTTCAATAACACCGGCCATGGCAAAACCAAACCACTTCCACATGGAGCTTAATTAGGTGTTAATGCACCCTTACTCTTCTCTGTCAGTACCAGTGGGGGTGATGCAGAATACTGAAGATGTGGTGGTGCTGCCACCCAAGAACAGCGCCCTCCTGCAAATGGGCAGCAGCTGCCCTTTCCAGCAGCTTGCCCATCCTTTCTCCAATGTCACCTCTCACGGGAGGCAAAAGTCCAGCTAAGCAGCACTAGATTCTGTAGCTGAGAATGGTCCGGGTTTGCACTGCTCCACTCAGTAGTAGGAGCTCACTGCTGGAGGTAGGATTTAAAGACATCTATTTCCCAGGATTTTGCTAGCACCTTGAAGAACCTGCCAAGCTGCAACTCTCAGATATTCCCTACCTGTGCTCATTTAAGCATCTATACTCAGGGGACCATACTGCTGACCTCAAACTGTTCATTAGTCAAAGAATACCCTAGTGATGAACAACTGCCACTTGTTCTCTCCCCCTAGTCCCTTTTCTCCTTTAAAAAACAAAAACAAAAACAAACCAACAACAAAAACACCAGAACTCATTTGCTTGGATCCTCAAGAGTCATAATGAGATAATTTTCTTTCATAAAATAGATAAGCTTTTTTCCCTAAAAATACTGCTGGACAGGTTTCCCGATAGCTTTGGTTTCAAATCCTCAAATTTTAAATATTTCTCAGCTTGTTAAATACAATATAATACCAATCATTGACACGTATCTCCAGTGTGCACAGTTTTTAGCAGAATAATCGGACCTGTTCAAATTTTAAGAATGGCATTTTAGAAGAAGCTATATATGAAACTATAAGTGAAACCTAAGGGTGAAAAAATACTCTTCTATTAGAGCCATTGTAATAACTTCTCTTCCTTGCCAGTGAGCTGCACAGCCATGAAATTTTGAAGCTAATAAAATTCAATGGCTAAATCCCAGCTAAAGCTCAGGAGAGATACAGAGGACGAGATCCAATAAAATAAAATGAACTCTAGGAATACACATGCATAAAATCCTGTTGAAATCAGACCAGATATTTTCCCATCAAACCCTCATGCAACAGAAGGAAGCTGTAACTTTCCCTGCACTATTGCAGACTGAGGTGGGGTAGATGCTACGAATTAATTTGTGAAGAAAATTTGTGATTCTGATGATGTAAAATCCAGTGATCAAACATGAAAACCTTAATAAGATGATTGAATCCTGTGGACTCTGAAATAGGGAATATGTGATCCATGAGTGCTCTTTAGGCTATAGAGGTTCCTCTGTCTTAGCCTCAAGCTTCCAGAAAGGTTTAGATGTTCAAACCTGGAGTACTGGCCAGATCAACTTAATTTCTGCATTAGCTAATATAAAATTCAAAAGTTTAGAAGTTAATTCTTATTAAACTCACAAATATATATGGATTTTACATGTCTCTGAATACTTAAATCCTTCTTAAATAAGAGCAAGAAAAGGCAAGCCGCAATGCCTACTAATCAAAAATATGGGTAATCAATTAGCCTATCTGCAAAGGTTTCTGTATCCATGGAAGAAAGTCACTACTGTGATTTAAATCAATGTAGACATATCAAGCTATCTTTAAATTAGGAATGTTAGATACTGTGATTAGACTGGACAAACTAGCAGGCTGCAACAGCCCCTCTCCTGCACTGAGCATATCCAATTGTGTGGGCCAGGGCACGCCGAGATCTGCACTACAGCATTTGAAGGGCTGCAGCTCAGAGTCTGCTATCTGAGGACCTCTGCAAGCTGAACAGACCTACCTCGGGGCTACCCCTGTGCTCTCACCAGCACGGGCAGGCGCTCTCTGAACAGTGCTCCATCTCGATGTGCGACGTGGCATTTCAGGCTCCCATCTACACTGAGGAAAATGCCAGCCAGTATAGCTGGCTGAGAGGACTATCTTTCCACCTTGAAAAATTTTAATGGCTTCAGACATTTTCTGTTTGTACAACAGAAAGAAAGCACAACTTATGAAGTCTTCCAAGGAACACGAAGAGAAAAACTACGACGGATCAGTTAATGTTCAGACTTGTGAGATATACACAGATCTGTTACCGAGTTCCCTACTCTGACTTACCAAGAACCTCCTCTCACTCCTCATTAGGGAATTATGTGTATTCATGCAAATCCACTGAGAAGTTTAGTCTAAAACGTTTTTCTAAAGTCCAGTGGCTGGAATCAAAAACTGTGGACAATTTAGGGACATCGGGGTAATCAGTGTTTCGACTAAAGTTGAGCTGCTAAGAAGGACATCAAGACTACTGTTCTTGCAGATTTTTTTATTTTTTTTAAACTCAGTTTTCTTGTTTCAAAATGAAAAGCTTCAACTCCCTAAAAGCAATTTTCTATTTCAGGACTCCAAACATTAACTGAATTCAACTTTAATCTATAGAGAGTTTCAATAGACCAAAAAACATATCCTTCAGATTCACTGATTGTGAAAGAAGTTTTATCCAGCTTCCATCAGCAACTTTTAGCTTCATCTTTAAATAAGAATTTTAGGAACATATGGCTTTGATCAGACTAGGAAACACACAGCACTCCAACAATACTAAGAAAACCTCTTGAAATAATAGTTTGTTAGCTCCTAGTCAAATGTTACAGTGCTAGAGATGGAATAGCAATCTGGTTGAAGAGATTACACAAAGACCACAATCTAAGCTGATGTACAACCCCCTGAAAGAGCATAGGACTATTATTAACAGCAACCACAATTCAACAATTTATTTCTGTTACTGACTTACACCACTAGCCTGCTGCAAATGCAAAGCAAAATAGCATAGTCAAAAATCACCAGGACAAGCAAAGTGAACCAGCATAGCTTAAGTCACCTTGAATATGTCATCTGTGATCATGTTTCCTTACCCCCAGACAAATACAAAGTATATTTGAATGGCTGTTCTAGCAAAACAGCTCATCTTCAGTCATATCTTTTGTTTTCTTCACTTTTAAATTAGTTCCAAAGTCATTCTTTCCAGCATAAAGGAACTTGGCCTGCACTACTGATCTCAGCACCTCATTGTCCATGTTTCCATATGCACAGGATGTCCAGACACTAGATTTATGTCTCCCTTCACATAAAAGTTATGGCAAGTGTCAAAGTCTATTGGTAATTCTGCTCCACAGTGCTGAAATAGCATAACTCATCTCATCAAGCAACTACCGCTTGCACGGTCAGAAACTGGCTAAAGGTGTTCACAATACCCTAAACTTTCTGAAGTTGTAAATAGCTTCATCGTTCATTTTCTTCTACCAAGGGGCTGAGTGTGAGGATGCTCCCATTGCAAATCAAAGTTATTGTACTTCTGGTAGCGTAGACGGGTTTGCATCACTCTCCCTGGCTCTTGTACAAAACACAAAGACTTAGTATTGCCAAGAAAAAAACATGCCATAGCTGGGAATGATCCTCAGTTGTCCAAATTGTAGATGCTCAGATCTACTCAGATCAGTCAAGAAAAAGATAAAAACCACAGCTGAGGGGGGCGAGGAGCTGGGGTTTGGGAAGGGAAGGAAGGAGGTTTATATTGAGTTGCCTTCAGATGGTGCTTTTCCAGGGCAAGAGGGCTAAAAAAGGCCAGCTTCCTGTGGTTCACTACCCTACAGTAAATAGCAATCATCTCCTGTTAAAAGTGAGAGCAAGGCACTTTACAAAGCAGTGCTAGTGTGTGTGTGTTTATTTAACTGCATACTATTCTGAAGCTGCTAAGGAT